AAACCAGCCATTAAGGCCCGCCATACTCAATCACCGAATCAGCCATAAACAATTCAAAATCCAGCCATCATCAGTCCACAAATCTAGCAACCCAATCAGTCCTTAAACAGCCCTCAATCCACACTAATTGCTCCCTAAACAAGTCTACTAGTATCCAATGTCCTAGACAAAGTTTAGGGAGTTGCTTACCTTGATTTGAGCAATAAAATGAAGCTGGACAGCGGGGAAGTCGTTGGAACGGCGGCGGCGGCGGCGATTGGCGAGGCTCTCGGCCACAGCCGGGCGACAAGGAGGTCGTCCGCGAGGCGGCACAACAGCTCGGCGGCAACAAGGGAGAACCGGGCCTCGCCGGAACAGCAAGAGCCTCCGGCGTTCGAGCAGCGGCCCACGGCGCGACGGGAACGGGGCGGTGAAGGCGAATGCGGGAGGAGAGCGGTGACCGAACAGGGGGGGATGGTGTCGGGTTGTCGGCCAGCGGTGGGGTGGCGGTCGGCGGGCGAGGCGGCGACGGTTGGTCGGGGCGGCTCGCGGCGGCGAGCAACGCCGACACGGCCAGATCCGGCCCAAGCCGGAGGGAGAGAGAGAAGAGAAAGGAGTGACGGGGACGGTCGGCTCGGACGATCGGCGCGGCACGAACAACGGCTCGGGTCGACAGAACACCGGCTAGACGGGCGGTGAGGCGCGGCGGCGAACGGCGGCGCGGTGGAAGACACGCGCGCGGAAGGGTCGGGAAACGATATTTGGAACAGAAGGGGAGACCAGCCGGTCGGGGCGGCGACTGGCGGACGACGGCGCGGCGGTCGAGCTAGTTGTCGACGGCGGCGACGCGCGGCGGCCAAGCGAGCTCAGGCGGTCGACGTCGGCAGCAGGGAGAAGGAGCAAAAGCAGGAGCAGAACGTGATGTGGGAGGAAGGAGGAAGAAGAAGAAAGAAGGGAGAAGGAAAGGAGAGAGAAGAAGAGAGAGGAGAGAGAGAAGGTCTGAGGAAACAAATGAGCGTGAGGAGACACGTGGAGGGGGCCATCGTGCGCAGCAGAGGGGGAGGAGAGAGAGAGAGAAATAGAATAAGAAATAATTTGAAGATTCAAATATTATTTGCAAATCGATGGTCCAAATTCAATATCGAAAACGATCTACCGGTCCAAAATAAGCCTCGCATATAAAAATGGACAAAGGCCAAATTAATTAGACCAAAATATAATTAGGGAGGTCTACTAGTCCAAATTCGCACGTGGTCAAAAACTCCCCTTTTTCCATCATTCCTGAAAATCTCAACGTTAGCTACCATAATATTGACACCGTCCAATTTATTTTGTCTCGAAACTCCCGGAAATCGACTGTCAAGTTCGGGATCCAAATAACGGCCAAATTTGATCGAGTGCGATTCTAGCGAAATCTCTAATTTAAAATGATCATCGGGAGTGATTAGTTCCCGGGCGAGATTTTACTATAAGCACACTGACAAATTATGCATTTTATAAATCCCAAAAATGGGCCGAAATTCGGGATGTCACATTGTGTACTAATATCTTGCCAATAATAAGGAAAAAAATAAATTCTTTAATATAATTAGTAAAGAGACTTGATATATATTTTAGACTAATGAAATTAAAAATTAAAAAATACCAAGAAAGTGAGCTTTCGAGATAAAAAAAACAAAGAATATGTAAATTATCATATGAGAAATGATGAAAAGAGACATTTGAGTTTTTGTACTATATCAAAGAATTTGTCTTTTTTCTTACTAATAGTGAGATAGTTTTACACAAAGATGTAAAATGTTATAGGAATATCTAGGAATACAATAAAAAAATTACATTAAAAGACAAAACATGTAAAATGATTAATTATGGCAACTAGATCCTAAATAGAAATAGAAAAATAGAAAAAAAAAGAAGAAGGAATGGGGTTATCACTTTGCAATTGAGTGATTAATGGCTATTTTGTCTTTTTAGTGCAAATGGGGTGGATTTAGTCATATAAGGAGTGGAAATAGCGCCGCCCTTAATTTATGTAATGATCTTTGGAAAAATTTGCAAGTTGAATGAATCATTTATGGCCAAAAAAGATATGAATTTGGCATTCTTATATATGTCAGTTTGGAAATTTGTCATGTAAAAATGATGAGAAAAGGGAATATATCATTGAAAGTATTTATATTAGGGCTAATACCATGAAAAACTCCAAACTGGTACATTTGTGACAAATTTACCCCAAATTAATTTTTCGACCACAAAAAACCCCAAACTAGCACACCCGTGACAATTTTACCATGCATTAATTTTCGTTAAATTTTACCGTCAAATTTCTGAGTTGGATGACACGTGGCAGTTAACGAGTGTACTGGTTTAGAGCTTTTACCCTCCGTTTGTCATATGAGTACCAATTTGTAATTTTTCGTGGTATTAATTCAATTTAACGGAGGGTAAATTTGTCATAAATATACCAGTTTAGTGTTTTTGGTGATCAAAAAATTAGTTGAGGATAAACTTGTCATAGGTGTATCAGTTTGGGTTTTTCATGGTCAAAAAATTAGTTTGGGATAAATTTGTCACAAATATATTAATTTAGGGTTTTCGTGGTATTAACCCTTTATATTAATATTAGAATCTATACAAAAATTAAGAAATCATACATTACCAAAGTAATAAATCTTTTACAAAAGGAACTAAAATTAATACTAGAAATCTCTAAATTTTAAACATATGATTGGGAATTGGGACGTGGTGGGTTCTTAGGGCGGGGCTAGCCATATCCATCCGCAGCCCGCCCCACTCGGCTTGCAAAATGGGAAAATTCGCACCACGCCCATTTCAAAACCCATTGGCTGCAGGTTTTACCCGCCTCTTTCGAGATATGGTAGATCGGGCATCCGATCGGGTGGTTAAAATAGCTATTCCTTGACCGGGGACTGCTCTGTCTCCTGATAACCCTATCGAGACAGTGTATGCTTCGAATGAGATTATATGAAACTAGGTGGTAAATCTAATATCAAGTTTTCTCTCTAGACATTTGTCACAAATATATTTCAAGTTTTGCAAAAGTGTCTCCACACTGTCCCTAAAAGGCTGTTGCTTGTTCTCCATTTTCTGCTAGTGTCAAAGAACCAAAGTCAAGATAATCATAGCTGAGTAAAGCCTTAGCAAAAGTGAGTAAAGCAAAGGAGTACTAAGGAGGATGCTCCAAGATAGAATTAAAACTCTTGATAAAGAGAAAAAGGAAGCAATTGCGCAAGATTTTGTGTCATTTTCGGTCACTTTATCTTTGTACCGAACTCAGCGCTTTTGCACGTACATGTTTTTTTATTGCATTTTTCAATACCTAAATAGCAAAAATAAATTACTTAATTTTTTTTTTGGCATAGGATATATTAACAACTTTCAAGAAAATTTAGGGCATAATAAATTAAAAAATTTAAATATCAGACAAAAGTAGTGAAACCTAAATAAGCCAAGAATGCACTTTCTCTCCGGTCCAATTGGGATTGGTATACATGTCGAATATCTAATATTTGTTCTAAAATATATTTAAGAAACTATGCTATTTTAATAAAAAGCGATTATATCAGTTATGAATACTTCAGAGAGTACGTTTAGATTATATTGGTTAAGAATATCTTCGAAGATATCTTAAACTCAAAGACTTTCAAAGACAAAATTGGATAGTATTTATTCCTTTTTTTTTTCTTGCCTTTTCGTCTACGCTAACAACTAATTGCCCCTTAATTTGAAATTACGAATTTTCAGAGCTTTTATATTTGAACAATAAAAATATCGCATCAACATGTCACCTCAGATATTATTGACGGAATGACATAACTAAACATTCCTTACAGATTAAGAGGTTCGACAACATAAAATAAGTCAGAAAATCATAATTGCGTGTTAGGTACAAGTTAGGGGATCAAAGGTCGATTCAACCATCATCACTTATTACCTTATTTGTTACATTGTGATTTATAAACCAATTCTTTACACGTATGCATAATCTCTTTTGCATTTCAATAACTTCCATCAACCTATGAATTTTCACCTGAAGGAGTTTTAACACACATAATACATCACAAGACTATCGTCTAATAGATTAAGTTTTTGGGTCGGATCACAAGCCTTTGAAGAATCACAAGTCAATTCTCACTTTTATTCTTCAATTTTAATGATGAGATATCCTATTCATTGAAGTCATGATATTTATTTATAGCGTTAATACCACAGAAAAATTATAAACCGGTACCCTTAGGACACATTTGCCATACCTAACTTTCGTCTCACAAAAGATTTCAAATTAGTACCCTCATCCTACATTTGCCCCAAGTTAATTTTCGTCTTACGAAAAATCCCAAATCGGTACCTTCTTAACACATTTACCGTAAACTAACTTTTGTCTCACAAAAAATCAAAACTGATTTTCCTCACCCAAATCTACTCTCTGTTGAAATCCATACGTGTCAGCATACGTGAATTTTCCATGTCGGAGACGTCATTCTCCACATCGGAGATGTCACATGGTCAGCGAGGTATTGAAACGAATGCTAATGGAAGTTAGATTTGAATCTAGGGCATCTTGTGAGATGAAAACTAGTATGGGGTAAATGTGTCATGTGGCCTCCGTTTGGGATTTTTTGTGAAGCAATAATTAGTTTGGAGGTAAATGTATTATGGGATTACCGGTTCGAGACTTTTTTGTGAGACGAAAATTAGCTTCGGGGTAGATGTGTCATGAGATACCGGTTTTCGAAGGTATTATATTATAGACGAAACAAATCTCCATCAGAACATCCTCTCAAATCCGAAATGCATGCAACTTTAGCTGACAGTGCTATTCGTAACGGTTTTTGACCATGTTTTCAGCTTATCAACGGTTGGACAGCCTCCTTAAAGCCTGGAAACATTGGACTGTTGCCTCCACCTCCTAACTGTATTTTGAAATTGCCAAAAAAAAAAAGAAAATCCCACCCACTTTTTCCTCCCCTCTGCAACAAAACGTCCACTCGATCCCTCCGCCTTTTTCTCCGCAGCAATTTCCACCGAAGAAATTAAGAGAAAAACCTTAAAAACTGTTCTTGTCTGTGGTTAATCCTCGTCTGTCCTCATGGTTATATCCCATTAACTGCCCGACCCACGTTCAGGGTCCTTCAAAATTTTGTCTTTCTTTCTCTCTTTTGTATCAAATTTTCCCCCACAACCAAATTTGAAGGACCCTCCGTTTGTTTCCTTCTTCTTCTGCTTCATCTTCATCTTATGTTTGTTGCTGAAATCTTTTCATTGCTGTGTCACTTTTATGGATTCTTGACCAACGTGTTCGCGATCCAGATCGGCTTATCTCCGAAACCCGGTGGGTCTGCGCGAGGGATTTTAACCGGATCCAGGCATGAATTGCTGCCCCTGTTTCGCAGTACAGAAGTGCAAAGGCGAGCATGACGACGACGCAGCTGATGGTAAGTTCTCGATTTCGATTGCACGAGTATGTGTACAACGGGATCATTTCGAGGCGTATGCATTTGCAAAGTGTTTTGATGCCTTGCTTCTTTCCCTGTATCTTCATTGAGAAGTTCAGATGAATCCATGGTTGCCCCGAAATTCGAGTTTCCTATTTATCTTCTCTCTGTCTCTCTATTTTGTTTTCGTTTCTCTTTGGCTGAGAGAGTAGTGGTGCTAATGATACCCATTTACAGTTACCTCAGGATCTCTCATAAAGTATTAATATCTGGCTAAAGACATGATTTGGGAACATAGAATTCTAGTGGTGTTGTGAAAGGGTGAAAAGAAGGTTATGAGGTTTGCTGATATTGAATAGTAATGATAAAATTCATCAGGTTTGGTCTCAAAAACAGATTTTAATAACTCTTAAATGCATGATGAGAGGCAGAGCATTCACTTAAAGATTCTGAAAGATCCCTTTTGTATCTCCAAACGTGATTCGCGCAATTGTTACTCAAATAGCAGTCTTTTGGAAATCACTCCGCTGGGAGATACTGCGCGGAGCGAACATGAGCTTTATAGCTTCTAAGTCTGCAGTGCAGAAGATCTATTTAATGCACTAATTAGTACTGGTACATTCGTGATTAAGATATGTAGCACCTGATATTAGATATTAGTAGTTGGTCATTTGTTATGTCTTCAAGGTACTGTTTGAAAATTAAACTTTCCGCCTTTTACTTGTCGTATTAGTTGCTGGAATCAAGAAGCCTAAGCCCGGAGGCGAATCCAGAAACAAGGAGGAAGTCAAGCATGGAAATATTACGGCCCAGAATTTCACTTTCCGCGAGTTAGCCTCGGCCACAAAGAATTTCCGACAAGAGTGCTTGTTGGGTGAAGGAGGATTTGGTCGAGTATACAAAGGAACCCTCCAGGGGACCGGGCAGGTGACAGAGAGGCTTCCACTCGCTCTCCCTCTTCTTTATCTTGGAAAAATGTAGGGCTTATGAAACCACGCTTTCCTTGTTCGTCAGGTGGTTGCTGTCAAGCAACTCGACAGGCATGGACTACAAGGAAACAAGGAGTTCCTCGTTGAAGTCCTCATGTTGAGTCTCTTGCACCATGAAAATCTTGTCAATCTCATGGGGTATTGTGCTGATGGAGATCAAAGACTTCTCGTGTATGAGTTCATGCCTGGAGGTTCTCTAGAAGATCACCTGTTCGGTACCTTCAACAGTCTAAATTTGATTTGGAATATATTTTTGCTGAATCAGTGTGCTGATAACGTAGATGAGAAGACATCTCATCTAGTTGCTATGCTACAAATCATTACTAACTTGCGTCATAGTTTGTACCACAGACATTGGACCGCAGCAGAAACCTCTGGATTGGCTCACCAGAATGAAAATTGCATTTGGTGCTGCACAGGGTCTTGAGTATCTGCATGATAAAGCCAATCCACCCGTTATATACCGCGACTTGAAGTCCTCGAACATCTTGTTGGACGAGGCTTTCAACCCGAAATTATCCGACTTTGGGCTGGCCAAGCTCGGGCCTGCTGGAGACAAGATGCATGTCTCATCCAGGGTTATGGGCACTTATGGCTATTGTGCTCCGGAATATGCAAGAACGGGCGAACTTACACTGAAGTCCGACGTGTTTAGTTTTGGAGTTGTGCTACTAGAACTCATCACCGGACGGAGAGCAATTGACACAACAAAACCTACTGATGAGCAAAATCTAGTTGCCTGGGTAATTTTACAATCCTATGATAGTCAATGTAATCTATGTTCTAGTCATCCTCCTCTCTAACTTGTACAGGGATCGCACTTGCCTACAGGCCCAGCCTAAATTCAGGGACCCGAGATCGTATCCGGATATGGCTGATCCTTTACTCGAACGTAGATTTCCTGAAAAAGCATTAAATCAAGCTGTTGCCATTGTAGCCATGTGTCTGCAAGAAGAAGCCTCGGTCCGCCCACTAATGAGCGACGTTGTTACTACTCTAAGCTTCCTGTTAGTGGCTCCACCTGACACCGTGGCTGCTCCTCCTCCAGAGCCCCACAAACGTTCCCAGGAAGCAAATAGTAGCGAAAGCGACAGCGAAAGTGATGAAGAGAAAGGCGACACGGAGAATACTTCTAGGGAACATCAGAATCACGGTGATGAAGACAGCACAAATAAGCAGGACACAAAGGTTGATGAAGGTCACAAACATGACCAGGACACAGGAGAGAATGATGAGGATATTAAAAGCAACGATAAGGGATCTGATTCGGATTCAAGCAGCAAGAGTAGCATGTCGAGGAATGGAAGTGGTGCGTTCAGGGACAGAAGCAGTTGGTTCTTGCATGAGGGAAGCATTTATTATTCACACAAATTGAGCGTAAGTTTGTCCAATGGGAGCGTGTCTTCAGTCCCCGAGATGAGCAAAGACAGCGGAAAATATTCCTTGAGCCATAAGAGCAGCAAGAGATCGTTTGACGGAGTCGATCTTTCGAGTCCAAAAGGAAGCGGCAGATACAGCAAAACAGGGTCATTAGATCATGCTGCCTCTTTGGGGGGCGATGACAAGGGTCGTTCACATGATGGGAGCTACAGAATCGATCTTTCGAGTCCAAAAGGAAGCAGCAGATAAAGCAAAACAGGGTCACTGGATCATGCTGCATATATTGAGGACGAGAGCCACACTCTATCCAGAGACGATACCCTTTCCTCAAAACGAGACAGCAGTGAGGGATCCCTAGATGATGTCGATTCGATTCATTCCAAGCAATCGAGCGACGAGCATGTCCACTCATGATCATAAGTTCCCGTCACTTGGTTTCTCTTTATTTTACATACAGGAGTTTAAATTCTTCTCTCTTAATTCAACTGTGACTGTCCAACATGGATACAATCTGGTCGCCACTGAAGAGGACATACATTTGATATTTACGTGGGTTCAATCAATCAAGTTCTTTCTCACTCTAGAGTATGTAACACATTGCTTCTCTGTGCGCGTACTTCAGCGTTGAATGTGATGCTCTACCGGGAATAGGCAAATAAGCAATATGCTTTCTGTATAAACTACTGCTGCCTTTTCTTGTCAATGAACTTCCGGTACTCATTTAAAGAACAGATTGGAGATTAGGTCTTTGGATTTCATGATTCAGAAATTAGAGTTATTCCATTGCTCTTGATCTTAGAAGGCAGTAGTCACTGGTGCTGTTTGTACCCATAATGGCCGGCGATTGGCTGCTGGACACGGGATGTGATCCCTTGCCAATGGCATCATCTCGTGTAGGCGGCACATACTTTACCTCGAGGAATCGTTTCCTAGGTTCAAGCCCCTCTTGACATCAATAAGCAAAATATAGTCCATGAAAAAAAAAAGCAATTGGGTATCGGTGTCACGTGGGTAGAGTCTAGGAATTTTTTTTGATAGATAGAGGAAATTATTGTCACTCTGGTACAAGTTTATGATTTTGGTGGCACAAACAAAAGGTATGGATATTTGTATGTATATGATGTACACTAGGTTTTAAAAAGAATACCTAAATACAAGAAAAACGTTGGAATTGATTTATATCGAAACATATAGTCTGATTTCAGCTCTTATCACTTATCCTTTTCTTAATTCTTCCTCTAGTTTTTTTGCGTTATTAAACTCTCTAACTTATTAGATGTGTGACATGTATCGATCCTCCGATCAAAATGCGATCATGACGTTGCTAACATGGAAAAATTTGCACAAGATATTGACACAATGTCTAATTACTATAGACCTAGTCAATAGATGAGCGAAGTTTGAGATTAGATCAATAAATCCTTAACCAAACCTTCCCAGGACAATATGTGTGTATGTATGTATGTATGTAATTAAACAATCAATTAATAAGGTTTGAAACTTTTGAAAACCGTCAATCTCACCGTCCCTCAAAACTTTGGAATCACAACCAACACCAACTCTAGAATCATCGCCAACACCGACCTTGACGGATAAATTGTTCTCCAAATTTTCCAATTTCTTGCGCACATGATCCCTCACACTTTGCGATCAGTTGCTCGATGTCGAGTTCGTGATCACGAATTGCAGAGTATTGTGTGCGCAAGAAACTGGAGGATTTGGAGAACAAACGGTCAAGACCGGTGTTTGTGATGATTCTCTGAGTTGGTGTTGGCTATGATTCTAAAGTATGAGAGTTTCAAATCTTGTTGGCCTCCACTTTTGGCTCTTTTCGTGGACTGCCTCCGTGATAGATTCTTGACTTCGCCAGACATCTCAGCTGCCGGCGGTGAAAGTTTGGGATGGATGTTGTTTATAATGTTGCCCGGTAACGGTGGGTCTTGTTTTAGTACATGCATGATGTTGAGGACTTGCACGCTAAGTTTTATTAAGGCTGATCTATAAAATCAATGTATTAAATGACGTGGTAGCGTGTCTATGAGCATTTGAACAAGCGGATCGCACTATGGTAAAAGGAGAACTCCAGCGGCAAAAAAACGAACTCGTATCATGCACACTGAAAAGCCAAACTAGCATGTCTGAATACTCTTCAGGAATCATCAAAAGAGGCACACTGCACTCGCCGCAAGTTTGGGTTCGTGGGCATGCTACATAGTCCCGTGTTCGACAATTTTCCGTCGAAAGGAAGATCCTTTCGCTCTGGTCAAATTACATCTTCAACGGATGGACACGGATTAGAAAAGCCTTCTAACAATGTCACAAATGCTACACGATCTTGCCACTTCGAACAATTTGAAGTAAACTTGTTGCATATTTCTCCCTGATACGTCTTATCTGAAAAACCTGAGCTCGACGTGCTAGAATAGGCTTCGAGACTATTCGATGAGGCCATTAAGAGTAGCAATAGACCATTCTTCAAGGGCAGGGAGGCATTCATGCTCTACTTCTTGAAGAAAGGTAAGGCGAATTTGGCTATGGAGCACTTGGCTGCACAGTTAAATTGTTAGAGCAGAAGATGAAGAGTGGCGTCCTGATGCGATTATCATAGATGCATTCCTGAAGCACTTCGAGGATCGCCGACTCCGCCGAAAAGTTGTGCAAGCCAGTGCCGTGTCAAAGGCGATTACCTCAAGGTGTAGCTGAAAACCTACTAACAAAACGGCTCCCAAGATTTAAAATATGCTGGAAAGAGATGGCATAACGATGGACAACGAGCTCTATAGTATGTGCGATAAGATATGTGCATCATGACTCTTGTGCTTGGAGCATTATTGTGTGCACACACACAATTACACAATCTTTGCACAATTCGAACTTCACAATGTTGGGAATCGTTCACCGATTCCAAAAAAATAACCCAAGCAAACGATCCTCACCAGCAGAATATAATAATAAAAAGAACAGAATCGAAAAAACACACCAGAGAATTTGTTATCGAAGTTCACCCAAACCTGGACTACGTCTCCGCACAGAGGCACTCTGCGAATCCACTAGACTTCGAAGAAAGTAGGAATACAATGATGATCTTCTCTCAAGATCGTGGTACAAAGAGATTGAGAACACTCATAAAGAAAAACTCATTTTTCCTTCTCTTTTTTCTTTTCTCTCTATTTACTTCTCGACGCTTGACTGCTAACTTCTATCAATAGCTGATATATAAAGTGTAGCTTTTAACCTAAAAGCAAAATTAATAGAAAAGACAAAAAGGTCCTTAATAACAATATTTGGCTTCATCCTCCAACACACAAGTGCTCAGTCATCAATGGTATTTGTTTGCTGCATGCATGGCCCGAAATACTTGTTGAGATCTTCTCTTGATTCCGCACCGGATCATATCAGCATAATAGCCATTGTTGCTCGCTTAGTTAGCATAGAGCCCTTTGATGTGAAAGTATCTGTCAAAATGGCCAATACTACTAGTTGTATCAGGAGATGTACAGAGTTTTTACTTGAATTATTTAGTAGTGAGCTCTCCCGCAACTGCCATATTTCCTTGGAAATTCAACGTCCTAAAGAGCAAGTCATTTAAATGGGTATGTTTACTAGTATCATCTGACCATTCTCAGAAAAGTTATATCTGCCTCCAAGTGCAAGCTAGCCCAATGGATCCCATCCTTTTGGATCGCATGGGTTCCACGTGGGGTCCAAATGTTCAATTGATTAAGTGCAGCTTTTGATTAATTCCTGCTGCCACTAAGCTGCCACTAAGCTGCCCTACGGGCCCAAATGTTCAAATCCAGCAACCAGTGTCAGCACAGTTAAACTTACCGGTTAACCCACCTCTGGTTGCTCATAACGGACCACCCCAACAGCAGCCACAGTTACCACAGCAGCCGTTCTACCAATTATCTCATCAAAATCTGAATCCGCCATTGCAACCCAATTATGTGGTAGCTCCTCTGCCCGCCGCTGGTTCAGCACGAAATCAATTAGCAGCAGACCCTGTAATGAGGAGATATGGCTATGATGCGGGATACCTCCAAAACGTTTATAGAAAACCATATCCTGATTGGATGGATACAATACCATATCCAAGAGGTTTTAAAATGCCAGAATTTACATTGTTCACTGGAGAGGAAGACCAGTCTACTTTTGAACATGTTAATCATTTTCTGGCTCAATGTGGTGATGCGGCTCATGCTGATTATTGGAAATTGAGGTTATTTCCTTTGTCCTTATCGAAAACCGTTTTTACATGGTATACTGCTTTACCTGCGAATTCGGTTACATCATGGGAACAAATGGAAAGGTTATTTCATTGTCAATTTCAAAGGGCTGTGCCGGATTTGTCTGTAGCTGATCTCTCAACCATGAAACAATTAGCTAATGAGTCTGTCGATAAGTTCATTTCCAAATTTAAGAGGGTAAGGAATAAGTGTTTAGTCCCTTTACCTGAAAAGACTTTTGCGGACCTTGCTTTTAATGGATTAAAGTTTGAAATCCGAGAGAGAATGGTTGGACAACCATATTCGGATCTGTTCCAGTTGTCAACCATAGCTACCAAGCATGAAAGTCTCCTCCAGGAAAAAGACAAAAGGTATGGTCGACGGGGTGAAGTTCGTTGGGCCAATGCTGATGAGAGTGAAGATGAAGCCGAATCAATAGATATAGCAGATATGGCTCTCGCGAAAATGGTGATTGATAAGCCGTATATCTGCAAAGCTTTAAAACCAGTAAGAGTTAGAGAAAAGTCTAACCTCATGTCCAAGGCTAAAGAACCCATTTTTTATTCTTTCGATATCAACAAGACAGAGGAAATATTTGACTTATTATTAGCTGATGGACAAATCAGGCCGACAGAGGGTCAAGTTTTACCCATCAAAGAAGAATTAGCGGGAAAGAAGTATTGCAAATGGCATCATTCGTGGAGCCACGCCACCAATGACTGCCTTGTATTTAAAAGAAATGTCCAGGAAGCTATTAAACAAGGGAAGATAAAGTTTTCTGAAGACAAAGGCAAGGCCCCAATGGAAGTTGATGTCGATCCTTTTCCCGTAATGGCAGGAATGGTGTCATTAAGGACAAACACCAGGGGGCATCAGCCACGTCGTTTTTACGAAAAGTGTAAGCAACTTTTGGAACAAGAAAAATATTACTCCAAAAGTCGAAGACTTCCGCCTGGTAAGGTTGTCGACGAATTTCGTGGTTTAGCACTCATTGATTCATATGAAGAACAAACTCCTTTTAAGGGTACCAATCATCGTAGAGGTCGTTGAGGCCGTAATAAGACTATTAAGTCATTCGAGCAAAGGTATGAAGAAGGTGATCCAACTATTGATACCTTAGGAGAGCCTAGTGGTAAATATGATTATTATGTAAGTTATGCTCCACCACCTTCATACAATGGGAAGATTGAGCCAAGTGGATAGGGTCCTGATTTCCCTGATCGGGAAGATTTTCACACAGACTCTCATTTGCCATATCGACGAACTCTGAAGGTGCCAAGAGACCCACTTGTAGGTCAATGGTATGAGGCCAGCCGAACTCGAAATCACAGCTCAAACCTAACGCGGACTCAAAAAAGGAGAATGTTGCGAAAAAGAAAAGAATATCAGCTCCGACAACGAGTAAATCAAATTCACATCAAGCAGGTGAAGCCAGTCTTGATTGCTGAGCAGGAAGCCAGGCCGAAAAATCCTAAGCGTGGGAATTTAGTCTGGAAACGAAAATCAGGAATTCAAGCATCGACATATTGTCGACCTCAGCAATCTTCATCAAAACAAGACATTGAGTCTGTGCGGTGCGAGCCACAGCAATTGTCAAGATCAATCTCATCGTTGAGTTCTTGTATGGTTCGAGTATGTCTTCCATCGAACCTTCGGGTAATGACGATGGAGTCAGATCGTACGGCAGAGGATACAATGGAAGAAAAAGAAAAAGCAGAGTTCTACTTTGACATTGAGGAGGTTGTGGAATTTGAAAAACCTCCACCCAAGGGTTCAAATCATTTAAGGGCTCTGAATATCAACGCAAAAGTTAATGGCCGACCGGTGTCTAGAGTATTGGTAGACGGGGGATCTACACTGAACCTCATCCCATATCGTTTCCACAAGAAACTGGGAAGGCGTGATGAAGAGATTATTCCGTCAAACATTCAATTGTCTGACTTTACTGGAGAAATCTCTGAAGTTAAAGGTATTTTCATAGCCGACTTAACCGTGGGTACCAAAACTTCCAGAACGTCCTTTTGCGTGGTTGATGCAGATGGATCTTACAATTTACTATTGGGCCGAGATTGGATCCATGGTAACCAATGTGTGCCATCAACCCTTCATCAGATGCTAGCATTTTGGAATAGGGATAAGGTAGAGTACGTCAAAGCAAACACCAAATCACAAGTAACATATGCACATGCATCTCCAATTCGTCAATTAGCACTGAAAGACGGTATATCAATCAGCAAGCCACCTCTCGTTGACCCCAATAGTATTGCGTTTTGCCGTTTCGACAAAGGGATCGTTGAATGGGTCCCAAAAAGTCAACTGGCAGCATAATTAAATGAGGTTGTCTATGGAGAACCTTATATTGTCAAAAGACCTCACTGAGAGGTACTCGGCCTATCGGGCCGAACTTGCATAGCAATCTGCAGAAGTTGTCGACGGAATCCTTGAATTTGAAGAGTCACCCATAAAAGAAAGTGAAAAATCAATTGAAGCTCATGACCCGTTACAAGAAGTCAACCTTGGACTAGATAACGAACACCGTCCTATTTATATAAGTTCATTGATCGATGACAACTTCAAAGCTCAGTTGATAAGACTCTTGAAGAAGTATAAGGATTGTTTCGTCTGGGAGTATAAAGAAATGCCAGGATTAAGCAGAGATGTCGTCGAACACCGACTACCCATAAAAAAGGGGTTCAGGCCTCATAAACAGCCGCCCAGACGATTCGCCCCGGAGGTAATCCTTAAAGTAAAAGAGGAAGTCGAGCGATTGCTGGCAGCAGGTTTTATTAGGACGGCCTGGTACGTGGAGTGGTTGTCTAATATAGTCTCGGTAAAGAAAAAGAATGGGAAGCTGCGTGTCTGCATTGATTTCAGAGACTTAAATGCAGCTACTCCCAAGGTTGAGTATCAGATGCCAATGGCAAATATGCTAGTAGATTCAGCTTCTGGAAACGAAATTATGTCATTGATGGATGGTTATTCAGGTTACAATCAAATATTCATTGCTAAAGAAGACGTCCATAAAACTGCGTTCATATATCCTGGGGCTATTGGTACTTTCGAATGGCTCGTCATGCCATTTGGATTAAAGAATGCAGGGGCAACTTATCAAAGGGCCATGAATTTTGTTTTTCATGACATGATCGGAGAATTTATGGAAGTCTACATCGGTGACATCATTGTCAAATCAGATCAGGTATGTCATTTAAACTATTTAGAGCAAGCGTTTATTAGGATGCAAAAATTCGACCTAAAAATGAATCCATTAAAATGTGCTTTTGGAGTAAGGGCTGACAACTTCTTAGGGCCTGGTTAATCAGAGAGGGATTGAAATCGATAAGAATAAAACTAAGGCTATCTTAGAACTGCCACCCCCCACGACCAAAAAGCAACTTCAAATGATTTTAGGGAAGATAAATTTTTTGCGTCGATTCATCGCTAACCTGTCAGGAAAAATTGAGGTGTTTTCCCCATTGCTGAAATTGAAAAGTCATGAAGAGTTCATATGGGAGGACAAACATCAACATGCTTTTGATCAAGTCAAATGGTATTTGGTTAATCCGCCTTTCTTGATGCCGCCAAGAGCAGGTCAACCATTGAAATTGTACCTGGCCGCTACCGACACTACCATCGGATGTATGCTGGCACAGGAGAATGGTGAAGGCAAAGAGCAAGCGGTGTATTATTTGAGTCGGATGTTGAATGATCCTGAAACAAGATACACTGCGATTGAGAAGCTATGCTTGTCATTGTTTTATGCATGTACAAAATTACGTCATTATATGCTGCCGACTACGGTACATGTGATATGTAAAACAGACGTGATTAAGTACATGTTGACTCAGCCTATTGTTAAAGGCCGAATCGCCAAGTGGGCATTTGCTCTGACCGAAATAAATCTGGTCTATATGCCACTTAAAGCAATAAAAGGACAAGATATAGCAGACTTTATTACGGAATACCCTGGAGCTCGAAATGAAAGTTGTGAGGAATACGTTCACGTGGTCCCATGGAAGCTCTACTTCGATGGATCCAGTACCCCCGGATCTGCTGGGGCTGGGATCATGATAATTTCCCCTCATGGACAGAAAACGAAACTTATGTTCAAAATGAATTTTGAATGCTCCAATAACCAAGCCAAATATGAAGCCTTAATTGTCAGCTTAAATATATTGGCCAATATGAAAATACGTTTCGTCAAAGTTATAGGGGATTCTCAATTGGTGATAAAGCAATTATCTGGGGAGTACCAGTGTCTTAACGAGAATATTATATCTTATTATTCACTTGCCAAAGAGCTCCTAAATCACTTTGACGATT